CTGCACCGCCCTTTCCCTTCTCCGGACTCCAGCTCCTAGAGGCCCCCATCGTCCAGGACTACGCCCGCCCGGACCGTTCGCCGTCTAGGCTGCTGTTGAGCCCACCCCTCTCCCAGTCCTCCCGCGGACGCGCGGGCCCTTCTCCACCTCCGCTCCCCGGAAGCCCCTCCCCGAAGCCCAGACGATCCGAGAGCATCGACTCCCCTGAGGCTCTCAGCTTCAGGTCCAAGGCTTGGTCGGGCTCCAGTCACCGCCGGGCTCCAGAAGACCTAACCCCACTCCGAATCCCTTCAGGGAAGACCCCCCAACCCCTAATCTATACCTTTTTCCCTATCCGTACGGTGAAATACCTCGCCTCGCTCAAGGCGCCCCTTACCTGGCTGTGCCTGGTTCCAAAGGTTAAATCGTGAGGGGAGATCCTAGCCTTCGGCCTCACCGCCTGCAGCCCCAATCCAAGGGGCCAGGCCCTTGATCCAGCCCGCCCCTGGTGTGGGGTGCTTGGAAACGCGATCCCCACTCTCCCCTTGCCGGCCTGAGGGTCGCTATTTCTGGCGGCACCTGGGCCCTGTCATCAGCAGTCTATTCCAGGACCGGAACGATAGTCTCAGAGCTCACGTTTCCCAGCCGGCGGAGTGAGGAGGAACCAGAGGCGAGACGGTGCAGTGCGCGCGGCATTTTGGGAACGCGTGGTATTCTGGGAGCGCGGGACCGCCATTCGCTTGCCTCGCGCGCTCGCAGTCGCCTGAGTTCTCGCTACCGCCGCTGCACCGGGAAGGAAGGGGAGGCCGGAGCCGGTAAGGAGAAGCGGGGGGCAGGCGAGGGTAGGCCGAGGCTTCCGTGAGGGACCCGGGGCTGGAGAAAGACGCACTGCTGTGCAGCTCTGCGGGGCTCGGGGAGGGAGAAAAGCGGGAAGCCCGGGCCACCCAAATATCAGCGCCGCCGCACTCTAGCGCCTGCAAATGAGTTCATTAGCTTTACCCCAGAGCACATGCTCTTCACTTTCTATATCTCTCCGGGTATGCAGGCCATAGTCTTGAAGTCATTTCTGGTTGATTTTCTCGATCGCCCGAATACTATCAGGGTAATTCTTTTAGAACTTCCTTGCATATTGATCTCCATCCCCCTTCAAGTTTGCCTGCTTCTAAATTGTTAAACCCATTTTGTAAGTGCTGTTGCCTTTTCATTGGCTCATTCCTTACCTATAATCTTTCAGTGGTTCCCCGCTGTCTTCAACATAAAACTCAAATTCCTAAGGCTTCTCACTGAGGGAGCCTGTCTTTCCCAACGCATGTTTCCTTTCCTCTCTTGAACATACACGATGAGGTTCAACCTTCAGCTGTTACTCATTTCAGAATAAAAAAATCCACAGCTTGTCCCTTTTAACTAGATGGTCAGGTGCTTGTCTTGTAATTATGTTTTCCCTCCAAAATAAGCATTTCCTGCTTATGGCACATTGTCACTTTGTGAACACTTTGGTATTTTCTTTTTAGCCTTGATGGTGAAGTACAGGGTCAGAGGGCATTGAAGGGTTTGAATTAAATGCACAGCCTCTTCTAGATTTGCCTGGATCCTTGGTTTATATCTGCAATGATCAATACTGTAGATATATGTGCCCAATATAGTCACATGTGGCTGTTGAGCACTTGAAATGTGTCTAGTGTGGCTGACTGAATTTTTAATTTTATATCACTTTACTGTAAGTTTTACTTAAATAGCTACATGTGGACAGTGGCCGCTGTATTAGACAGCTTAGGTCTGTATCATGGATTCCCAAAAGGGTGTTACCCACAACTATGGGTTGACAGTACATTGTAAGGTACATGTTTTACAGCCCCTTTGCCCCCAGTACACTCAAAATTGGTTATTTGATGAAGATAAAGGGACATATGGTAGCAGGAAAGGAGATGGAGTGTCAGGCCTTGAGGAAGGCATAGTGTGTGCCACATACCTTCTTAGGCTCTGAAAGATGAACTGACTATTATCTCTCTCACCATAGAACTCTCTTCCTGCCAAGATGTCTATTGGTGTGCCAATTAAAGTCCTACATGAAGCTGAGGGTCACATTGTGACCTGTGAGACAAACACCGGCGAGGTGTATCGTGGGAAGCTCATTGAGGCCGAAGACAACATGAACTGCCAGGTATCCTGCTTTGTGCTTAACACTGTAGGGAAAACTTGTACCTCTGTCTTGGAGGACAGAAAGATGGTGATTAGGGGTCTTTTTGAAGTTGTTCTCATTGAACAAGTAACTATTTGTTGAGTGCCTAATGTGTGCTAAGAATTGTAGTAGATGCAAAGATGTGGGCATGAATAAGAGCCTTTTGGAATATTTTACTTTGTCCTTTGTTTTCTTCGTTCCATAGTCATTTTCTTCCATATTTTGGGGACCCGTTTAAGAGAAGTGGCTCTACTCCCTTTCATTGGAATCCTTCCGGTTCAGGCCATTATTCTTTTGCCTCCACATGTTGGCATAATGCTTTGCAGTTAGCAGAATCATTTATTCACATACTGTGTTTATTTTCTATTTTTCTTGGGGGCATGAGTCTCATTTGATTATAGCAACTACCTTTTGAGGTAAATGGGTTTGGTGAGAGTTTTGTCATCCATAAATAGAGAATACGATTAAAAGACTCATCTGCTGAATATCCGCTGCTAATGAATGTCGGAGCAGCTTCCTGATATGGTGCCCTTCCCTTGGCACTATTTTGTCGTTTGCTAAAATTGCATGAACTTGTATAACATTACAAGGGGGCTGGGGATCAAGCTTGCAATCAAGGTACATGCCCTTGGCCGAAAATGAACTCTGGACCACTTCAGTCCTTGGGCCAATGCTCTAACCACTGAACCAAACTGGCCAGGGTTCTACTTTGTTCTTTTAAACCACCCATAAAGGCCTTGGACTTTGTAGTCAGATGTTGATTTGAATCTTATATGACCTTAGGCATGTTAATCACCTTAGTTTCCCCATCTGTAAAATGGGGATGGTGTTATTTTTGGTTCCCTGTGATATAAATGCCAAGACTGAAGAGTCTAACATAGGGCAGAAATGACCTGACCCTAAAACCCTTGCTGATAGCCTGGGAAAGAGTGGCCTCTATGGTGGATTCCAAAAGTGGCAGCTGGAGGCTGTCAGCTCCCTGCATTCCTTACAAACTATTGTCCCTTTGAAGAGAGATCTCAGCAGAGTATACTCCCAAGACTGCTGCAGGGATAACACCCACCCCCCAGGGCTATTCTAAAGATCAAATGAGTTATGTGTGTGCAGCAACTAGCTCAGCATCTTGCACATTATAAATTCAGCATGTGGTACCTGTTAATATTTTCCAGGTGAGAAAACTGAAGGTCAGAGCGATAAAGTGATTTACCCAAGGTCACACTGGATCAGATGTCTTAACTATTCATTGTTTCCCAGGGTTATTCATTCATTTGTGATTTCTTTGTAGCTTTGAGCATCATCTTCCTGCTAGGTTGACCAGCTGGGGCAGTTTCCTGGCATTCAGGGAGATAGGCATCTGGTGACTGCAGGTTTCTCTCTTCAGTGTCAATGTCGTGGAGATGGGTGGTGTGGGCTTTCCATAGGTCCTGTGGGGCTTGGCCTCCTTTGCTTTTGTGAGGTACCACCATCATAAATCCAATCCTCTGGCTTAAGGCATCCTCATTCATTTTAAGGTACTTTAGTTTGGTGAGTAAGAATGCAAGACTGGGGTTAGAGAACCCTGATGTGTTTATTTAGCTATTTATTTAAACAGTTACTGAGCTTCAGGACCTCAGACTGCCCATCTGTAATGTGAGGGTGTCTGACCAGGTGGCCTTGGTGGTCTCTCAGATGCAGTCAGTGTGAGGTAAAGCACACAGACCCCAGTGATAGGCATATCTGGAATCAGGTTGCAGCCTACCACCTAGTATGACTTGGAGCAAGCTTTTACCCTCCCTCATCCTCTGTTTCCTCCTTTCTAAATCAGGGATGAAAATAGTGCCTCAGCCTGAGGACTGTAGTTGCAGAATAAATAAGCAGATAGATGCTTGTCAAACAGTAGGGGCCAGCCACCTGCCTCCAGCCTGCTAGGGCTGCCGTAACAAAGTTCCACACTGGTGGCTCAAACAACAGAAACTTATCCTCTTGGGGTTCTAGAGGCTGGAAGGCCGAGATCGAGGTGTTACGGGATTGGCTCTTCTGAGGAAGACTTGTAGATAGCAGGTGTATTCCTGTGTCTTCACATGGTCTTCCCTCTTTGTGTGCCTGTGTCCTAATTTCTTATAAGGACACAAGTCACTGGATTAGAGCACATTTATCTCTGTAAAAATCCAGACTTCAACATACGAATTTGGGAGAGAGACACAGTTCAGCCCATAACACTGCTGATATCAAGATGTGAGGCTTCACTTGGTCTACCTAAATCTACCACATTGAATAAAACCCAGCAGGCTGTGGCAGAGCTGAACCTGGCGGCCGTGAACACTGAGCACGGTTCACTAACAGTCTTGGGAACTAGGAGGCCAGTAGATGTTGCAGTGCCCACTGGCCCCAAATGGCAGCCTTGGAGATAAGAGCATCCTCTTAGAACTTTTTCTGCTTGTTCTGTGCTAAAGGCAGCTGGAGTTCAGTGTTTGCCATTTGATGTTGGGTTTTAATAGTATTTTCTAATGTAAAAGTGGGGTGGGTCACACACTACAAAGATTGGGAAAACAAATGAGAGAATCCCACCGTAACCACAATTGGCATGGACTTTTCCCCTTGGGGGTGTATTTGGGGTTTATTACTTAATTTTTACTCTATCCCTTTTCAAAAGAGTTAGAGCTGGCTTACAAAAAATTATTGGTAGGATAAAAGTAACAGGTAGGTCAAGATTCAAGTAAGCTGGGGTAGACGGTAAAATGAAGCCAGGCAGTCAGTACCCAGAAACATAAACTTGAATCCCTGTACATTTAATGAAGGTCCATTCAGGTGTAAGCTTAGAACTTGCAGGCAAAGGGAAATCATCAGTTGTGAGGTAGTGTCCTTAACATAAAATACCACTTGTGTGGTTTTCCCAGGTACTCAGATATGGGAGAGATTTTTTTTTTTCCAGGGCCCTGTTGGAGAGAATCTTATTAGATAATGTGCTCGACAGTATTCCCATACAAAATATACCTTCTTTTTTTTGGTTCCTTGGTGATGGTTTTTTGTTTTGGTTTTTGGGTAGTTTTGTTTTGTTTTGTTTTGTTTTGTTTTGTTTTGTTTTGTTTTTATTTGAGAGAGAAACATCGATTTGTTGTTCCATTTATTTGTTTGTTCATTCATTGGTTGATTCTTGTATATGCCCCGATTAGGGCTCAAACCTGCAACCTTGGCGTATCAGACAACACTCTAACCAATTGAATCAGCCAGGGCCAGGTTTTTTGTTTTTGTTTTTGGTCCTCACCCGAGGACTTATTTTGTGTGTGTGTTTGTTTTTTGAGAGGGTGAAAGGGAGAGTGAGCGAGCCAAGTACACAGAAACATTGATTAGACCAGGGATGGAACCCGCCACCTTTTGGTGCACAAGATGACACTCCAGCCAACTGAGCCATACCGGCCAGGGCAAAAATGATTCTTTATAAAACTTCATCATTCTTTCTATATTTATTAGGTCTACCGTATGGAAGAGCCTTCCCCTTACTCCCCATTTATTCATTCATTCATTATCAGTATGGGCTGTGGATTTCTGTTTTATTAAATGGTTTATAATCTGTTACTGTCATTATTTTGATGTTCAAGTTATTCCTGATTTGGCCAGTAGGAGCACCCTCAAGCTGACTCCTGTGTCCTTTTGATGTGTCCTACTCATTTTGTAGGGAGCACATCCTTACCTTCTGGCACAAGATGTTTGTAACAGGCTCATCAAACCAGCTCTGGACTCAGCTATTTCTTCAAGGATCCTTGGTTTCTTTTAGGTTGGAATAGACTTTAGAAACGAAGATCTGGGCACTGTTAAGTATTTCAAGTCTTAGTTTATCTTGTCAAGCTAGAACCTGTCTCCAAAAGGCTATGTGCATAATAAAGTACCAGAAGCTTCTGTCCGTTGCATGCTTACTCTGTACCAGACACTATGTTAGTATTTTTGCATGCAGTAGATCCTTCAGTCATCACAGGAACTCTTGAGAACATGCTTCAAGATACCCAGAGTGACCAAGCATGGAAGGAGCGGATCTAAACCCAAGTTTCTGGCTCCCAAGTCTGTGATTTTTACCAGTCTCTAAAGATGAGGCATAGAATAAACCTGTTACCTCTGGATGTGTCAAACCCTCAGCTCTGTCAGATTTCGGACAGGAAAATAAGTAAAAGAGATCAGGAAAAGGAGGAGGCTCTCATCAATGGTAGGGCAGAGTGTCTGCTGTGTGCCACACAACAGGAATGACCTGATTGATGGTTCTGAGGCACCCCAGTATTGCTTTACAGCCCTGGAGCTAATGCTCTCTGTCTTGGACCCAGGTATGGGGAACTTCCCCTAATATTGACTATAGGTAGACCCCTCTTATCCAAAGGGAGTAAGTTCCAAGTCCCCTCCCCTCCCCTCAGGAGATGCTTGAAAGTGATAGTACTAGACCCTATGTATACTATGTTTTTTCCTACATGCACACATACCCATGATAAAGTTTCATTTAATTTATAAATTAGGCACCATGAGAGATTAACAGTAATTAATAATAAAATAGAGCAGTTATAACAATATACTGTAATAAAAATTATGTGAGTGGATTTGAGGCCATTATTAAGTAAAATAAGGGTTACTTAAACACCATGACAGTTGATCTGATTACCAAGATGGCTACTAAGTGACTAACAGGTAAGTAGTGTATACATTGTGGATGAGATGAACAAGGATGATTCGTGTCCTGTGTAGGACATGCAGATGGCATGAGATTTTATTACACTAAGAATGGTGTGCAATTTAAAACTTTTGAATTGTTTATTTCTGAAATTTTCCATTTAATATTTTCAGGCCATGGATAACCATGAGGACTACTGTACTCAGATCTCTTTCCCAAGATGTCATTTAAGTTGGAAACCTGACTTGCTTTGCCATCTGTGTTTCATTGTGGTTATTTGGGAAAGTTGAGTAAACTGGGTGTTCCTGCCTGACTTACATTAAAACCTAGTTCACTCAAGTTATTGCCTTTGGCTTATGATGGGAATGTAGCTCAGGCTTATTAACAAGCTATGTGAGTGGGTGGGCAATGGGACTGTGGGACTTTGTACGCAGCACAGTCATTTCCGCTAGTGCAGCAGGGAGAACATGAGAGTAACAGCGGACCTGGTTCTTCGGGTTCTAGTTGGAGTCAAATGATACTGGGCTCTTTCGTACTTCGGCCAGAATACATACTATTTGTGAAAACACTTGGTTTACGTCTTGTTGATCATACATAACAAACTTTGTCAGGAATTTCCAAAATGGGTTGGGGAGATTGTGATGGAAGGAATGAGATGTACAGGTTTATACTGGAGGAGAAGTGATTTGGCAGCAGCATAGCACCCAAAATAAACACTTCTTTTCTTTAATCTCAACTCCTTCCCCCAAAATCAACATTTTAACTGTCATTTGGATTCACCATTTACTGAGGCTCTATTTTGTGCTAGGCAGTAGGAACAACATTTAGACATACTTGTCTCATTTAATTTGCTCCTTAGTAGTTCTAGAAGTATGTGGTGGTCTGATATATGGGTAAGAGGATGGATTTAGTCAGATGGGCCTGGGTTCACACCCCAGCAGGCCACACAGGGGCAGTGTGACCTCAGGCAGGGTAATAGAGTAGGTAAGGGCTTGGCCTCTGGGGACAGATCTGCCTCCTACCGGCTGTGCCATTCCATCTTTAGTGGGCATGGTGATAGTACATATCTCATAGGATTGTATGATATAAAATTAGTTGCTGTGTGAAATCTGAGACACTAGTAAGTCTTCAGTGAACATTGGCTTTATTATAATGTATTTTTCCTCACTTTGTAGGTGAGAGAACTGAGGCTCAGGGAAACCGGGAGACTTAGCCAGGGTTATGTCCCTGACAAATGATGGGGCTGGGCCTCAAGTGTAGGTTCCCAGATCTGTTCTCGCTTCTATGGAGTCCCAGGTGTGTCTGGTACTGATGAGCCTGGGTCTGATTCATGTTTCCTAGATAGTCTAACTGTACCCGGTGTTCATTTGTGGCACCAGAAGTTATGATGTTCTTCAAGGCAAGAATAGGATGGCAAGGACTCAGAAACTGAAAATTTGCTAAGAAACGGGGTGCTTGACCTGGAGCAGAAGATTTATGGGGAACTTAAGCCCTGTCAGCCCTGAGGGTATAACAGGTACAGTGGGTTGAAGCGCTAGAAACTGTTCCAATTCACAGATATGGTAGGGGTGGCCCTAGAGTGTTGTTAGTCTCTTTGTACTCTGGGTGTTCAGGCAGCAGCTGGTGGTCAGTTGGCACTTAAAAGAGTGAGTGAGTATAAGATGGCAGCAAGCCAGTCAGAAATCTGGGGAGTCAGCACACCTCTCTGCAATGTGGGTTTGACCCATTCTGAATAAATTGTAATCCTCTTTCCCTGGAAGATTCATAAAATAAGCTGCTTTTTCTGGTAAATGTGGTACCTATTAAGATTGGCACTAGCAGGTTTATATCACCTCCCATGCCAAGCCAGTCTCCCAGCTGGTCTCACCTCTCTGCTCCCCACCTCCATTCCACAGTTTATCCATGTTAGCATATCATCTTTCCAAACTGCTGCCCTAACCCTATCCCCCCATCCTCCCACTTTCACTGCTCCAGTCCTTGCATCTGTAGGTTCCTGCCTGAGTGTCCTGTCTCTGCGCTAGCTCTTGCCTTAACCCTCTTCAGTATTCCAGGCCCGTCATACAGGCACTGCCACCTCCACTTCTCAATCCCTAGTCACCCAAGCCAGATGGACTGTTCTAAGGTGTGCACTCCGGGAGGATCGGAACTGCATCTGATGCATGCTTGTCACCTTCATGGTACCTTTGCAGTCTGTGTGTGGGCAGATCAAAGCTTTTTCAGTTAGAGTTAATTACCACTGAGAGCACTTCACATGCT